CCCCCCCCCCCGGACCGCGGGTGCCACAGTCCCGCGATCCCAACGGTCCCTTTTAGTCGCCTCTTACAACAGGCAGGGATTACCGTGGGCGTATTCTGTTCCCCGCCACACAGAGAAAAAAAGCGCACCGCCGGGAGGAACGAACGTCCCCCCCCGGGCGGCGGCATCGACGCGGGCACTTCTAGGGCAGGGGTGTCAGCCACACCCCCACATGCCCGGCGACCCCGCGACAGGCAGGCGAGCCCAAGGGCCCGTCGTCGCCAATCGTGCGGGGTCGCCGCGTCGCGCCGGTCGCCCAGTGACCGGCCGAGAGGAGGGTGGGCTCAGGGGGCACCAGGCCCCCCCGCGGCCGGGGCGGCGGCCAGCCGCCGACCCCCGGCGCGCCTCGCCCTCCTCCTCTCGATGCGAGCGGGGGCGGTCACCTCCCGACCCCGCTCGTCGTCCTCCTTCCGCGAGACCACGGTCTCGCAGAAGGAGGACACCGCCCTCCACGACCCCTCGCTCCCCACCATGGCAGCGACCACGGCAGGGAGCGAGAGGTCCCACCCGACCGCCAATCGGAGCGCCCGCCTCTCCCCGGAGAAGGCAGGACACTCCTCCAGTGCGTGCTGCGCGGAGTCGAGCTCCGCACCGCACTGGTGGCAGCCAGGCGTCTCCTCCGCCCCAACCTTCAACAGGTACTCCCCGAAACAGCCATGTCCGGAGAGCACCTGCGTCAGGCGGTACGACAGCCGGCCGTGGCGGCGGTCCATCCATGCATCGAACACAGGCAGGACCGCTCTCACGGCCCGCTGTCGGGCGGCGCCGCTCATCTCCAGCTGGCGCCGCCACACCTCCCTGGCGAGCCGACCCACGGCTCGCCTCCACCCCTCGACCGCCTCGGGCGGCGGGTCGATGCCCTCCTGGCGGTGCGCCTGCCGACGCCGATAGACCTCGGCGTCGACCAGTACGCCGTGTACCATGGTCGTACCTAGCCGTACCATCTGGTGTTTGGGTCGTTCAAGGAGGAAGGTCGTTCAAGTCGGCAAAAACAATTCAACACGAACAAACCTGCGTACGCCCAATACATAACGGCGTTAGCAGTTAGCTTCCTCACTTTCTCGTGAGCCGTCGCGGAGGGTGGGCGCACGTACTCGTTCATACTCGTCCTTTCTCTTGTTACTAACCCATTGTTTGTTGCAGGCATTCAACAACATATATTAACATATTGTTAATTTATTTACTGTGTATATTGTTGTGTCCCCTCTCTTGTTACTAATCCCTTGTATGTTACAGATGTTCGAGAACCATTGGCTTCGATATTTATCTTCTTATATACTGTCATTCATTTATTGTGATTTATTTACTGTGATTTCTATACTGTGCATATTGTTGTGTCCCCTCTCTTGTTACTAATCCCTTGTATGTTACAGATGTCCGAGAACGATTCGCTTCGATATTTATTTTCTTATGTACTGTGATT